GCCCTGGCCTTCGGGCCCGCGCCCGGCGGGGAGGCCTTGGCCGGGCTCTCCTATCGGTAAACCACCCAGTGCCCTTCCTACGCCCGGGCGTGGGTTCTGTACGTTTCACGGCAGGTGCGAGGGCTGGACTTTTTGCCTTTAATTTTATTTATTAGTGGGGGTAGGGGCTGGGGTCATACGTGTCCGCAGCGGGGCCTGTCGCCCCGGCCCTGCCGCAGAGCCCAGGCACGGCGAAGGGCGCAGGCCTGCTCCCCTCCGCCCGTGGAAGCGTGGAGGGTTCCTGAAGAGCAGGGTTCCTGAAGGCCAACCCAGCCGGCTGCTGCCCAGGTCGCAGCAGTGGCAGATGCAGAACGAAGCCGTTAGAACTGCTGTCACTGCAGGGCCCTGCGACTTGCTGCCGCTGTAGCCAGCAAAAGTAAGACGACGTCCTGGAAGCAAATCATGAGGGAAATGGCAGCATCTGTTTTTCCCTCTCTGGAGAAGAACCTCCTTTCCCCAAATGTCTGCATCTGCTGTACTTTCATGATCTTGTTCTTTGAAGGCTTGCATTTATCAGGGCTTTGTAGCTTAGTCTAGGCAGAACCTTAACGTTTCAGAACGAGAAGATGCTGTGTTTGTTGTAAGGGCTCTGTTTATGGTAAGTGTTACCAGGATGCACACAGCATTCGTTCTGTGCTGATTTTTGGAGGATCTCTGTGCCTAAGCGTAGACCCTTGCATGTAGGCATGTGCATTTAGCTTTACCAGACCACCCAGGGAGATGCCCCTCTCAGTTGCTGAGCCTGTAGGTGAGGATCTGTAATCACTAGTCCAAATGCTGGTAATAGGGGAGAGAGGGGGCAACAGCTGCTGCTCTATCTTGGTAATTAACTGTTGGAGAAATCTAAGTAATGATGCTTCTTGAGTGATGTAAGTTCTGCACCAAACAATTGTAAAATGTCACTTTGCAATAGCTTTACAGACACATCTACTTTTGAAATGAACTTAGTAACACAACTTAACTTGGAATGTCTTTAAGCTGCCAGAATGTCAAGTAGCTGTCATGCATTTCAGAAATCTGCAGGAGACCGATGATGTTAAATAAATAAATGCTGTCTCAAACCCAAACAATAGAATATGGGCAAGCAACCGGTATATAAAGAAAAATGACTTTGCTGATTTTTTTTTTTTTATTGTTGTTACTAACCCAGCTGAGAGAAATGTGCATACACTGAATTTTTGCAAAATTCTTTGGTGTGCTTTTTACATGTTAGCATATAAGGACTATCCATTTGGATTTTTAAGAGTGATTATCTGATAAGAAGTATCTGTCTGAAATTAGTAAATACAAATCCTATTTTGTTTATAGTTTTGTTGCCCAGCAATATCAAGATATTCAAATTAGTTTTAGAAATATACTTACTATAATTCCTATCAACAACATACTTAACATATTTTCAAATATACTTTCAGAAAATTTCTTAGATGTATAAACCACAAAAAAATCCAGGCCACTAATAGAAACTGTGAAGTGACTGCTGATGTGCGACACGATGGGTCTGAACCACTTGTAGATGTTATGTTTGGTAAGAAGCTAATTTTTAATCTTGTTAAAAAAAAGACCTTCTGGGTTTGTGTTGTTACGATGTTACTGTCTTCTCTATGATTTTTTTTTTTTTTTACTGTGGTTACTTTTTTTTGGTTCCAGTCCATAGCTAGATGCTGTGCAGCTGGGAGGAAAAAAGGAAGAGGGAGTCACTAACAGCCTGATGTCTAGATAAATGTGTATTTATGTCTTTGTACTACAGTTAGATCTGGTGGATCTTAGATCAAAGAACTGACTTAACTTTAGGGTTGAGTCTACTTTTGTAGTGACATACTTGTGTGACCTTGCAGTCAGGTACAATTCCAGGGAAGTAAGTGTAGCTCTGTTTTGATGTAAGAATCTGTTCACTTTCTGTAATTTTTTTTTACGTTACCTGTGGTGGAGGCATCTCAGTCTTGAGAACAGAAAAGTTGAATACCTTTACTTGCTTATGCAACTGAGTAACTTACTATGCAGTTTGAAGGCGCTGCTCATATGGATAAGACCGTACATGTGCAGATGGACTTGCAGAATGAGGTCAACTGATGTACAACAAATTTCTTGGTTTCCTTTGAGCAGGCAGGGAATTGATGGTAGAAATTTCATCAGTTCTGGAAGCGGCCCAGATTCTAGGCTGTGAACAGATGGCTCTAATCTGCTTTTGTCCTTTTCTCTGGCTGCATCTTCTTTCCTGCTGTGCTGTAATGGACCAATATGTCATGTAGCCCATTAAAGTTTTCATTATTATTGATTCTTGCTACCCCCTTTTCTTTAAACTTCCATATATTTAGTGAATCGGTAGAAATGTCAGGAGTGTTGAATGTGCTTCATTTTGCTTAGGAAAGTCTAGTTATTTCAGTGCTGGCATTGCTTGTTTCTCCCTCCCTCATGCCTCTGTCTTTCCCATCCTTGTCTCTAACTGTGATGTATTAAGACTTAAGCAGTAAAGCTTACTGTTTTTTGCAGCATAAAACCGAAACAATTTATTTTGCTAATGCCAAGAGCTACAGCTCTGAACTCTTCGTTTTCTAAGAGCTGATTATTTTCAAAAAGTGAAGAGTTTTCAGCCCTTGTAGTTGGCAAACATGGGGCTGGAACTTGGATGCCATGCATGGTATTGCATTATATGGGTTTGAGTATGGCTTTTGTATTTGCATATCTTGCAAAAATAAATAATTAACTTAGGTACAATATTTAACTTCTACTGCCTCCTCCCTGTTTTAAAATAATCTCTTTCAGAATTTTAGAAATCCTAGTGCTCTCTATTTTTTTTTACATTATAGCCACCAGATTGTGTAAACCAATTCGTTGTTTTGGCTAAAGAAGTGAGTTAAACGGACCATAGACAACATGCTGCTAAAATGCTGAGCCATGTGTGGAAATCATGCCTTCCAGTGCCTTCTGTGCCTTCTGTTAGATGACTTTGAGGGCATAGTATGAGCCATTCTCATCAAATCTGTGTTCTTACTATAGGTATATCTAGACAAATGTTTCAGATTTTTCAATAATGCAATACAGAAATGAAAATTACATGTGTATTGTGTGCAGTTTAATATATTTGTGTTGGTGGTGCATAATCAGAGTCCTTGGTAAGTGGAGTACTTTCTAATCCAACAAGATGAACAGGGTATTTGGACTTATATATACAAACCAGAACTGCACACTAAAGTAATTGTGACTTGGACTTTGTGACTTCTTAAAAATTTTTCCCCTTTACAGCTGATGGAGAGCGATTGATAATGAAGGGAGCCAACTTGACGACAATAGAAATGTTAACAGCATTGCGGTCCAGATGCAATGCAAAAGAGCTTCAGGAAGAACAGAAAAGCAAGAGGAAGAGTCCCTGAAGAATAGAAAAACAACTGTGTTTGCATTTTACATGTGTTAAAAACAGCAGGCTGCACAGAAGGTTTTTCTCCTATGCAACAAAATCTGAGAGAGAGAGATGGCCAAAACACTGACCAGTTTAACATGCAGCAGAATAAACCATTTAAATGTTCCCGGTCTTCACCTGAAGGAAACCATAGTGGATCAACAAATCTTCTAACACTAGTGGGTCAGAGTGGCTTAAGATGCATGCACGCGTCTTTCTAAGCAGCTGCCTCTCAGTCGTCTGCATGTTGGACTAGTACCACGTGTATTTGCATATAAATGTGAATAATGCACATTAGCCATTAAACTAACATTACAGTGAAGACATCTCTTTGGACATTATTTCCTACAAAATTTCTGTACAGTGGAATGCAAAATATTAGTAGAGTGGTTATTATTTTTGAAAATTATTAAATACAAAAATTTGAAGAAAACTTTCAAAGTATTCATCATTGACTTCGCTGAGGGACAGCAAGCCGCAAATAGAGAGTGGATTTTGTAATACTATGTTTATAATACATCTGCTGCGAAGTCCCTGCCGTTTTCTTCCTCTCTTTTTCAAGAAAGTGTGAAATTTGCTAAATGTAAATTTAGCTCAGCGATTGAAGTAACAAGGTAATGGGACTGTGAACACACAGTAGAGCTACTCATGCTGCATAAAAGTAGCTAAGTTTAGGTCAAAGGGAAAGGTAAGTTAGGTTTTTTTGCTAATTGGAGAAAAGGGCTATCTTTGAAGCTCAGTTTTGTAATGTTTTTGTCACTTTTGGGAGATTTCATTAAATATTTTATAAAGATCAAAGGGAGAGCTTTATTTGGTGTTTATAGCCCGATGTCCAACCCTGTTATTTATTAAAGTAAGTGCTTAGGTGTCTCATCTTAGGTGTATTGCGAAGCTCTGTGGGTTTGGGGGGGTTGATCTCTCCTCAGGCTGTGCAGGTGAAGGTGTCAACTGCACGTGTATTTCATGTGCATCACTTTTGTTCGAGTTCAATTCATAATGAAAATGTAATTAAAGTTCCAGTTTTGAGAATTGCAGATGCAGTACTATTGAGGGGCATTAGTTCCACCTGTTGTTAGTCAGATGCCTGATTTCGGTAAAATTGTAATACACATATTTCCAAAGTTAATTTGGCAGCAGATTTAGGGCACAAATCTGAAACTAGTTTTACCTTACTTTTGCCGTGATTTTAAATGGCCACTGTCCTTTCCGAAAGCAACATTGTTTTAAATAGCACTGTCAAGGTAGTTCTTTGCAACTTCTTCGCCAGGATGCTGAAGTCAAGGTGATTTCTTACGTTGGAGGAGCAGAGCCATGCTAAAGATGTTTGATGATCTTTTATGGTGGCCTCCTCCATGTGTTTGCAACAAATAGAAAAGAGTGAGATAAGATGATTGGGGCAGATGGGTCAATGAAATTCAGACGTGGGAACGGCAGATGTGAATGACTTAGTTGGGGATGAATACCCCCTCTGCAGTCTGTTATCCCTTTTTTTTTTTTTTATTAGGCCACCAACACTTCTGAGTGATTTCAGAGTGCTGAGCTCCTGAACCTGCTACTGAGCTCCCTTCTAGTGGAGGAGTTACGAGAACATCTGAAACTTTGAGAGGATTTTAAATCCTGTCAAGCTAGAAAAGTGTCCTAGAAAGTGGACCAAATAGAAATAAGGCTGTTCAAAGGACGGTTTGGGTTTCTCCGCCCCATGTTAGAAGAACATGGTATAGCATGACTGTGTCGATTTTGCTGGGATAGAGTTAATTTTCTTCATAGTAGCTAATACGGGGCTGTGTTTTGGATTTGTGCTGGAAACAGTGTTGATAACACAGGGATGTTTTCGTTACTGCTGAGCAGTGCTGACACAGAGCCAAGGCCTTTTCTGCTTCTCACACCACCCCACCAGCGAGTAGGCTGGGGGTGCACAAGAAGCTGGGAGGGGACACAGCTGGGACAGCTGACCCCAACTGGCCAAAGGGGTATTCCATACCATATGACGTCATGCTCAGCAATATAAAGCTGGGGGAAGAAGAAGGAAGACGGGGACGTTCGGAGTGATGGCGTTTGTCTTCCCAAGTAACCGTTACGCGTGATGGAGCCCTGCTTTCCTGGAGATGGCTGAACACCTGCCTGCCGATGGGAAGTAGTGAATGAATTCCTTGTTTTGCTTTGCTTGCGTGCGCGGCTTTTGCTTTACCTATTAAACTGTCTTTATCTCAACCCACGAGTTTTCTCACTTTTACCCTTCTGATTCTCTCCCCCATCCCACTGGGGGGGAGTGAGTGAGCGGCTGTGTGGGGCTCAGTTGCCAGCTGGGGTTAAACCACGACAATGACTTTACCTGAAGAAGCCTTACAGGGAAAGTGAGAATTGTTCAAGTGGAAAAACACTGCAGAATTATTCATTTCCTGGTTAATCATGTATTCGTATGCTCAAAAGCCCTCTTACTGTAATATGTCAGTGATTTTTGTGATTTTTTTTTTAAATTTTTTCTTTGACAGTTTGTACAATGATGTCAGTATGTAAAACTTATATTTAAGTGTGAAGCACTTACATCCATCTTAAATAACTAGCCATCTGTAAGTACTTCAAGAGTAAAACAGGGGTTAAGTGATATTAAGTTTCTATAGTGTTTCTGTTGGCCCAAGATTGGGGTTTATATTTATGAAGAGAAAAGGGAGAAAAATGAAGATCCTAGTTCAGGCTTTTTATAGCCAAAATAAATCCTCTCCACTGTGTTGAAGAAAGGTGATTTTTTTTTTTTTCTTTACTTGCATGGATAGGCATCCTGCTTTGTAAAGACACGCTCTTACAAGGTGCTTTCATTTTAACCCAGAGATGCCCAGCCTTTTTGCTTAGGTTAGGCCAAAGGCCTGTAACCTAGCCATTGAGACGTGACTGGCAATTCAGTGGATGAGGTGTTAGCTGATGCTGCTTTTGCCGTGTGTGCTAGTAGCTGCAACCTGCAGTGGTAAAACTCTGGTATGTTTTGTGCATGAAAAAGAAGTAATGACTAGGATTTGAATATGTAAGGTATGAAGGAAAACATACAGGACAGAAAAATAAAGCTAAAAGCGTGTGTTCTCAAGACAACAAGATATTGAAGTGACAGAAATGAGCAATATGGGCAAGGAGGTACGCCTCCAGTGATTATTATGCTAATATGTAGAAAATTGCGCTCCCTGTACCATGTAGATAAAGGTACGAATTTATTTTTCAAGTACGTTAAAAACAATCTGTAATGAGTTTCTTCTCTAAGCATTTAGATAACTTTGCTGCAAGCTGCTCATGCAGTATCAGTTTTTGCTGCTGTCTGATTGACTGAGACAAAGCCGAGCGACCTGCTGCTCCGCCATCTTCCTGACATGCACGGTCTAGGGCTGTGGGTGTAGAGGGTATTAAGGTCAGTCACGCAGAACAAAGCGGGGCTGGGTGAGCATTGACTTTGCATGTTTGTTATTCTCTAGCCCACTAATCCTGATTACTATACCACGCCAAAAATGTAGGTGCTTGCCTAAATCTAAAAGGAACCGGAAGGTGACCTAAAAACACTAGGATTAATTAAATACGACCACCACGTCCATGTAGGGTGTCTGATAGCAGGTGATGACATTAAAATGTCTAGATCTCTAATACCTGGAGATTTAAAACAATGATTAGAATAATCTTAGACCTGTTTATCCTACAAATAGCTGTTTATTTAGAAGTTCTTGTCAATGTGTAAGGAAAATGGTCCTGAAACAGATGAATGTGCCATTCAGATAACACTGTCTGGTCAGGGTGCTCCCTTTTTAAATATCTGCAGCATTGTTTTTAGAAAAAGATAATGGTGTCTTTAATAAAGATTTGAACTGGGAGCAGAAGTGTTAGTGAACATTTCCACAGCAAGTTTTAAGGACTAGCTGGCCCAAATAAGTACAAAATCACAATGTCCTGATGCCTTTCTTGCAAGGTAGAAACAAGTAGAAACATGCTATCAGAGGTAGTTCATGCATACCAGTGCAAATTCTGTTCTTTGTTATTTGTGGGGATCTCAAATTGGGCAATTTTGTGCTACATATTGTAGCAAAGACTGGGTGCAATACAGTATTGCTGTGCAAACCCCACTTGAGGAGTGGAAGATGCTTTAAATCTCAATTATTTTGAAAATGTCGCAATCTAATACATCTTTGCTGTTTGTGAACGTGCAAAGGGTGTCATCTACTAATTTCAGAAAATTGCCTGCAAGTATTTGCCCTGTTGGATGTGGAAGAAAGCATTAGTTTTGGTTGGCTTTTCCTAGTTCTTCACCTCTACTATATATGAATTTTGAATGACCACCGAGTTTACATGGTGCAAGGGAAAAAAAAAAAATTAAATATCCTTGGACTGTATTCAACAGATCTCCAGACTTTGGCTCCCAAATGTATCTTCTGCATGTGTACTCTCCCTGTGCAGGTGAACGCACCCCTTGCAGTTTAAGAATTGCTGGCTTACTGCCCACCTCATCAACTACACGTGTGACCAGTTTCCCTGGATGCCGGGCCCTGCTTCTCCACTGGGTGGTTTGGAGTCACCTTCTGACTGACAGGTCACCTATCAGCAGTGCCTCTCCCAACTGCACTTCCCTCCCCTCCCTTCTCCTGGCGTAATAGCCTTTTTCCTTCCTGCTACTATTTGATTTCATACAGTCTCACCTTTCCCCCTTGGAAGGCCTGAGCCACTCTTCTGAGCCTTTTATATTGCCTGCCAAGAGCTTGCAGTAGCTTCAAGCAGCCGAGGTGCTTTGCTGCTGGTAGGCCACTACTTGTTCTCTTCTTCCCACTCAGCCTCGCTCTCTGCGCTGAGAAATGTTGGGACAGAGCAGCACGAACGGTTGGAGGTGCTACTTTGCTTCTGATCGTCTTTCACTTAACAACAAATCATCTTTACATTGAGCTGGCCTTCTCAAGATTTTACAAAACTAAGGCTGTGCCCAGGGATAGATGTTAGAGGTGTGAGGGCAAAGGAGTTGCCGACCTGTTTTGGTCATGTCTTGCTAAGTTTCAAAGTGGTACTTCAAAGCAGAGTTAAGGCGAGTGTAGAGTCTCTGCTTGACTTAAAGCGGTCGGTCTCCTACGTACTGGCAGTGTTGCCAGCAGAGGTTAATGGCGTATCAAAGGAAATCTCCGCGTTGTGCTTCACTGGATGAGGTGAGTTTGACTTGCTTACATGTGAAAAGAACATTTCTTTTAAGACAAAATAGCTGGAAAAGTGGACCAGCAGACCTGTTTGTGAAGGGAATGCTCGGTCAATAGGAGCAAAGCCTGGGAAAGACGAGTCCTTCATGGACAGGTTTTCACAACTCAGACTGGCAATCCCTGCAGGAAGTGCAGAGGACAGGCAGGAGGCAAGGCAGCAGGCTCCTTCCTTACTCGGGCACTACTCCGTTTCTTTTGATCCCTCCACCCTTTTTCGGTGAGGAATCAAAGACCAGCCTTACTCTAAAAATAGCACGGTCAGCGTGCAAAGCCAGTGAATTTGTTATCATATCAAACACAGTTCTTGCACAGATTCATTACTGGTGAATCTGAGTGGTTCAAATCACTTGCACGAATAAAAGAAACGATAATTATTTTCATGGAGTTTTTAAAGTCTCTTTTTCTAGGTGGGGCTTTATAGAACTTGTCTTCAAAATCCACTTCTCAAATGAATTTCAAAGTATTTACTGGAAATGGCAAATTTAAGAATCAGATGATTAATTGTTCCTTTCCTTCACACAGCTAGATCAGTATCAAGTTAAGCTGCACATAAAAGAAAAAGTGCCAGAATCAGTACCAGAAACTGTC